GGGGCCTGGGCTGCAGGGCTGTGGGGCCTGGGCTGCAGGGCTGTGGGGCCTGGGCTGCAGGGCTGTGGGGCTGCGGTGCGTGGGCTGCAGGCCTGGGCAGCAGGGCTACAGGCCTGGCAGTGGGGCTGTGAAGCCTGTGCTGAGGGGCTACAGGGCCTGCCTGCCTCGGGGCCTGGGCAGCAGGGCCTGGGCTGCGGGGCCTGCCTGTGGGATGTGGGCTGCGTGCGGGGCCTGAGCTGTGGGGCTGCAGGCCTGGCTTATGGGACCTGGCTGCGGGACCTGGGCTGCAGGGCCTGGGCAGCGTGCAGGGCCTGGGGTGCCGGGCCTGCGCTGCAGGCTGCGGGCTGTGGGGCTGCCCTAAGGGGCATGGCTGTGGGGCCTGGGCTGCGGGGTCTGGGCTCCAGGACCCGCGCTGCTCATTCACACACCAGGCACAGGGGCTGCCATTCCTCTGGGAAAAAGAAGTGAGCAGCCTTGCCCTGGAGAAATTTTGCAAGAAGATCAGATTACACTAGAAGGGATCTGGGGGAAATCTGTCCATGGCTGAAGGCAGTACTTAGATGCTTATAACCATGCGAGATACCTTTATTGGCACCTGTGTGCCAATAAAAGGCTTTACATCTCTGAACATCTTATGCTGTATTTCCCAGTGATATCCAGACACCTTTTTCTGAAAAACACTCAGACATTTTTAAGATGGATGGGAGATAATTGCTGTATCCCTTCATCTGGTAATCTAAGCGCTATTAGTGACTCAAGCCCAGTTCTAGAGTGAGAAACAATTACAAGAATTAGGGATCAACAGCTTGTCCAGCATAAACCAACAAATGGACTCGATTTCAGAAACTTTATTATCCACTGGTTATCTGGCTTGCAGAAACTTTGCAGGTTTGGTACTTGAGGACTCATGTGATTAAAACACTGTTCCGGCGTGAAATTTTCAGTAAGCGTGTCTTCTCCTTCTGCCATGGTCAAAATTATTGCCCTTGTCTATGGCTTTGTCTGAAGTCTGTCCTCCACCAAAGACCAGGGGAGTTGTGGGACAAGAATAGTAATTTTTTTTTTCCTCTGAGGAAAAAGTAAATTTCATTGATCTCACAAGTAAAGTATTTTTCCTCTGGAGAACCTGCTGAAAATTGTGCAGAGATCTGAAATGATTCCAGAGTACAAATGGATCAGCAGGCAGTGTGCAGGAATGGAAGTCAAATGTATAATGATAACACTTGATTATCAATTGAGTCTGTAACTTACCACAGGGTTATCCCCACATGCATTGGTGTAAGGAGACTGAGAAGAGAAGAGAAATCCTGACTGATGGTCAGATTAATCATATTTCAGGAAACTACGAGGCTTGCATTGCATAGTCTAAAAAACCTATGTCGTTCTCAAATGTGCATTTCAAGCTTTTGGGTTTCTAAAGATATATTTCCAAACATATCCCAGCTTTAACAAACCAGGAGATCCCTGAAAAACTTTGAGAAATAATTTCAAACAATGTCTCCTAAACTCGTAGCACCATCAGTTCTTCATTCATGTTCCTTCCGTATTGATGCTAAAGACTAATGGTGATTAATTTTCAACAGGTTCATTATAAAAAAAAATATTTCATATATTTTCCTAGATAAGTGAAAACCAGAGACTGGTAAGTGGGAAATGTAAGGAGAGAAAAAACAGAAGAATGATGTAAAGCAACAAGGAAGTAGGTGAGGAAAAAAAAAAAAAAAGGTGACAGATGGAAGATCAAAGGATGGAAATAGAACAAACCTCAGAGAAAAGATTTTCTTAATATGTCTCTAAATACCCCTTTTAATTTTGTGTGTTCTCTGTTAGAAAGATAATGAGCACCACTGAATGTATCATTGCCAGAGAAAGTTAGAGTAATTCCAAGACATATATTTTATAATACAACATATACATGATTAAAATAATACATATATACTTTGATATAACAAAATAAGTAATGTTGTTACAGGATATTGAAATTGCTTACCATCCCACCCCACCCATCAATTTCCCTGTAGTGCAGCCAAAGCCCAACAGTTGAGTTCACCTTCCCTTCCCATCACTCAGGCACTTGTTCTGCTCTGCCACGCAGTGCCAGTCTTTCCCAGAAGGCACACATCTATTTTCATTCATGCCTACATCTTCCTTTTTTTCACCACAGCTCTCATACATACAGTAATGTATAAATGCTACATATTTATCTGATATTCAATGTTTGCTATAGAATGTAATCGCAGTTTAATAGTGTGCCATTGAGGAAACAAGAGAGAAAAGGAGATAACGAGGCACCTCCATCTATGTAAACATTTCATGGGGGTTAAAAAGCAATTAAATGGGAGGTTCGTTTTCCTCGTTTCTGGCCAAGTTGTAAAAGCTTGCCATGGCAGTGCTGATAAAGATGATTACAGAGTTTTTAAATCTGCATTCAGATGCGATACTGCCTGCAAGATGTTAGAGGGCAAGAGACTGACATCTCTTAATATCCTGAGGAAGCTGTCCCTAGAAAATGAAAGGTTCAGGTAAGCTAGTCAAGCTCTTTTGATGCATTAAAAATATTTTTTTCTCTCCTGTTACATTTTGTTCCCAGTACTAAGATTAATCGGCATACTCTTTTAAGAGGATTACTTTGGGTAAATGCGATAGTCACAAGCACAGGCACAAGATGGCCGTGGTTAGGATGTGACGGCAGCCACAAGCCTCTGCACCCTCAGAGCCCATCAGGGCATGCAAAAACCACATTAATCCACCCACAGGCAGGTGAAAGCACTGGGCTGCAGGACAAATTGGAGGAGAAAAGTGACTGATGCAGCCACTGCTGCCACTTGCTGAAACACTGTGAGAGCGGAGGAACAACGCGAGGAAGGGAAATGATACTGCTGCACATCCCTGCCTCCACCGGCTTCGGAGAGAGAACGGGGCCTTGAATGACTCCAAAAGCACCCTTCATCCTGCGGGAAAGGATGTGAAAGAGAGGTGCAGCATTTTGCTTAGCTCAGGTTGACGTGAGGGGAATCCTCTTTCAAGTGCCTGTGAAGTTAGCAGGATGCTAAAGCATCTTGAGATGAGAGGGAAGACGCTGCTACAGCCTTTTAACTCTTGTCACAATTTGTATTTGGGTTATTTGAGCCTACTGCGTGCATGCTGCCTCTGTTGATATTAGCTGCAGATACTTCATTTCCTATATGCTGGAATTAGGGGGTACTTTCCTCTGCAGGGAAAGATGAAAGTCACCAAATCATACAAAACCGGTCACTTCCTTGCACCAGGAGCTCAGTGTACAGGCACTTCCCATACGTCTTTCATAGTATTTGTGTACGAAAGACAAAAAGGGATACACAGACGAGTAGCTGGGGGAAGACGGCAGTCAGGGAAAGGAGGAGGAGCACGAAAAAAAGCCCAGGGAAAAAAAAAAAAAAAAAAAAGAAGTTGGGGGGTTTGGGTTGTTTTTTGTTCCTCCTAGTGTTGTAAATCTGCTCTTACTCAGATTACAGTAATAAATCTGTGCTTGTTTGTATAATGCTGGTGGTGTCACTTTAGGAATCTAATTTTGGTGGCTACATTAGGAATATGATCC